CGCAAAAATAGAACAAAAGGAAAAAAAACACAAAAGTTACAAATCAGACATTAAAAGAGAAAGTTTTCTTACAAAAATATGTTTTAAGCAATGATTTAAAAACAGGTAATGTGCTAACCAGCCTCGACAAACGCTTTAGTTACCAGCCTTGATCTAGGGACGACTAGTGAGGGTCAGCTTGAGGATCTCAGGTCAGGACTTGGAACATAGGTAGTCAGAGGCTCAGCTATATAAGTCAGTGCTGAACCATGTTGAGCTTTAAAAGTTATTAGAAGAATCTTAAAATCAGGATTAAGAGGCAAGAAGTGGGGTGATATGTGACCTACGATTTGTCCCATGTTTATCATATGTATCCTATTAATAACACTCTACTGGGAGACAGTAAAACTCACAGGAGGAACCAGTTCCCCTCAAACACCATGAACCATCACCTCATCACCCACCCAGCAGCGTCTGCGTTCATGTGAGTCAACATGTTGTTTATGTGGGCAAAAAGCTGCAGACAGGGGGCCCATTGGTGCACCTGGTGGAGCCCCATGAGCAGGGGCCCTGTCCTTGCCGCAGCATGTCACGCCCAGCCCCCCCCCCCCCCCCCCCCCCCCCCCCCCCCCCCCCCCTTCCCCTCTTGGCACCTGTCACACCAACAACTGTCCTGTCAATTAAAGGCAAAAGGGCCTGGAAAAATATCTTTAAAAAAAAACAAAAAACTGTGGACTGGTCCTTTAATCAATCGACTATAAAGACCTGTGATAGTAAAAACACACACACTGAACTCTGTCACCCCAGAGACTGAAACTGGGTTCCTAGAAGATTCAAAACACACACACACACACACTCACACACACTCACACACACTCACACACACACACAAGCACACACGAACGCACAAACAATCAGCTGGCAGCAGAGTTTCAGGCTGTTTGTTAAACCTGGAGATTAATCACACACACACACACTCACTCTCTCTCTCTCACACACACACACACACACACAGATCTTTATTAACAACAGAGCAGGAGGAAAACAAAGGAGTCATAAATAAATACAGATTTTTAAAAACATCAGCAGTAAACTGGAACTCTGTTCATTGTGAGGGTGAAGATTTGGTTTCAGAGGTGCATATAACAAAGCCTTATTTACTTATTGTTTGTTTGTTTGTTTTTTACTCTTCAATTAGTCTGAGTAAATACATTAAAAGCTCAAAGTCTTGACCATTAAACCTTGTAAATGGCTGCCAGGGATTGATTGATTGTTTTATTTTTGAATAGCCTACATGATGGATGTAGATCTGATGGAGCTAACGTCTTAGGAAGTTGATTGAAAAGTGATTGAAAATACATTTATTAACGTCACTGCAGTCATAGTGAGGAGCCATTTTATTTTTCAGAGTTCTCTCAATGCCAGTTGCGAATTTTTTAAATTTATTTTTTAACCATAATTGTTATTTAGTTTGAATTTAGAGGGTTGAGACACACCTGATAGCAATATCATTTAAGATAAGATGAAATAAGATGAGATAAAACGAGATAAGCCGAGACGAGATAAGATGAGATGAGACAAGATAAGACGAGACAAGGCGAGATAAGATAAGATGAGACAAGATAAGACGAGAGAAGATGAGATAAGACGAGATGAGATAAGATGAGACGAGATAATACGAGACAAGGTGAGATAAGATAAGATGAGATAAGACGAGAGAAGACGGGACGAGACAAGAAAAAAAAACAAGATAAGACAGGACAAGATGAGATGAGACAAGACGAGATAAGACAAGATAAAACGAGATAAGATAAGATGAGACAAGATAAGACAAGAAAAAACAAGATAAGACTGGACAAGACCAGATGAGACGAGATAAGACAAGATAAGACAAGACAATACAAGACAGGACAAGACGAGATAAGATGAGACAACATAAGACAAGATAAGATGAGACGAAATAAGACAAGATAAGACAAGACAATACAAGACAGGACAAGATAAGATGAGACAAGATAAGACAAGATAAGATGAGACGAGACGAGATAAGATGAGACGAAATAAGATAAGATAAGACGAGATAAGAGAAGATAAGATGAGACGAGACGAGATAAGATGAGACGAAATAAGACAAGATAAGACGAGACAAGATAAGATAAGACAAGATAAGACGAGACGAGATAAGATGAGATGAAATAAGACAAGATAAGACCAGACAAGATAAGACCAGACAAGATAAGATGAGACGAGGCGAGACGAGACGTCCCACAGTGGAGAAATTTGCAACATTGCAGCAGCAGAGGGACAGAGTGCAAACAGGAAGCATCAGGACATGTCATCAGTGTGTGTGTGTATATGTGTGTATGGTACATGAAATTACATAAAATAAGTAAACTGCACAAAAACAGAGAGCGATATAATAATTTATCAAAAAATATTACAGTACATTCCCGCCCTTTTGGAAACCAGGAAGTGAGACAGGAGTCCTTGTGAGGCAGCTGACATCTTTTATGCCTGATTAAATGATGTTATTGTAGTTGACAAAATCTGGGACTCATCTTTAAAGGGCCGAGATGTCAATTAAAAGATACATTTTAGAATAAAGATGAATATAGCAGTACAAGTGTTATCAACACATACTGTTAGATTTAGATTTGAAAAGCTGTTAACACATATTTTAGTTGTCTGAAGTTGTGAATTATTATTTTAAAGTTTAAGCGCTTGTGAGAGGCATCTGAACGCAGCACAAGAAAACATGTGTCAGTCCAGGTTTAAAAGGGTTCATATTTTTATTAGTAACCTTGACACATGATTAATTATTATAATTTATTAAATTATCATGTGTCAGATTTCAGTAAACTGAAAATATTTGTGTTTTAAAATGTTGGTCGGACAAAACAAAACATCTGATGACAGTTTTATGAAACAAACAGTTGAATAATTGAGAAAAATAATCTGCAGATTAATCAGTGACAGAAGTAAATGTCAGCTGCAGCTCAGCAGTGTGTCACACAGAGTGCAGAGCAGATATGTTGGGAATTAGAAGTAATAAAACTGTGCAGAAAGATTTATGATTAAGTTATGTATAAGCACATGCACAGCAGCTTTGGAGAAGCAGTCATTGACCTCAAGCTTCCTCCAACAGTTCTCATTAAATATAAAAAAAAAAGTCTTACAAGTAAAAGTGAGAATCGGAGACATGAAACAGTGCAGAAGTTAAAATCTAAAAATGAAATATAACACATGTAAGAGCTGGAGTTTGGATTGTTTCCTCTGCAGGTGTCATGAGTCGTTTCACCTGCAGGGGGCGTTCTGCCGTGTGTTCACAGCTCCAGCCGGCAGGGGGCAGACTGACGTCATGAATAACCTGAACAAACCGTTTAAACATGAACACATGACGTCACTCAGGTCTGATGAGAGAGGTGAAGACAGACAGAGAGCAGCAGAGCAGTGTTTCAGTCAGTAAGACAAACCAGTGAAGACATGAAATTAAATATTAAATATAAAAAAACTCAGCCTTGGAAATAAAAATTGTGATAAACTTTATACATTAAAACAAAGTTACAAAGCGCTTTACATGGTTCAATCAGGAACACACACACACACACATACAAATCGGGACCATAATGAAATAAAATCAGACAGTTACACTGATAAAAATGTAAAAGATTTAATTAAAATTAAATGAACTGTATGTGTGGGAGTGACAGGATAACAGTCGGTGTCTGTAAATGATCATATTACATATTACAGAGAATCCGTGTTACAAATAACATGACATGTCAAACACACAGATATAATCATTATCCAACAATCATCACTGCATGTCTGATAAAAATGTAGCTTATGTAGAAAAAGCATATCATTTTATTTTGGGTAACACTGACCATTTAAAAAAAAATGAAAAGAGAAAGAAAAACCTTTTTGAGGACATAGATTCACCAGCCACTTTATTAGGTACACCTTGCTGGTACCAGGTGGGACCCCCTTTTTAATTCTTGGTGTCACAGATTCAACAAGGTGCTGGAAACATTTCTCAGTTGGTACTAAGAAAATCTCCCCCACACCATTACACCACCAGCAGCAGCCTGAAGCGTTGATACAAGGCAGGATGGATCCATGCTTCCATCTGAATGTGGTTTTTCCAATCTTCTATTGTCCAGTTTTGGTGAGAAAACCCGTGTGAATTGTAGCCTCAGTTTCCTGTTGTTAGCTGACAGGAGTGGCACCTGGTGTGGTCTTCTGCTGCTGTAGCCCATCTGCTTCAAGGTTGGACAAGGTGTTGTTGCTTCAGAGATGCTCTTCTGCACACCTTGGTTGGAACCAGTGGTTATTTGACTTCCTGTTGCCTTTCTATCATCTTGAACCAGTCTGGCCATTCTCCTCTGACCTCTGGCATCAACAAGGCATTTTGGCTCACTGGATGTTTTCTCTGTAAACCCTAGAGATGGTTGTGCTGAAAATCCCAGTAAAAACCAGCCCGTCTGGCACCAACAACCATGCCACGTTCAAAGTCACTTCAATCACCTTTCTTCATCATTCTGATGCTCAGTTTGAACTTCAGCATGTCTACATGACTAAATGCATTGAACTGATGCCACGTGATGCGTTAAGGAGCAGTTGAACAGGTGTACCTAATAAAATGGCTGTTGAGTGACCAAGCGTCAATATTTGACGCGTTGGGAGTGAGATTGTGTCAGAACTGTAACATTTCCCTCTGAGGTGTTGAGGAGTAGAAATATCAAGTGGCAGAAAATGTAAATACTCATTTAAAGTATAAGTATCTCATATTTGTAGGTTATTAAATTCAGTATTTGAGTAAATATATTCAGACACTCTTCAGTCTGTCTGTTGGTTATAAAAGGTGTTTCTCGGTGTCTTCTAATGTCTCGTGCTGGTTCCCAGTGAGTGCATGCTGTAATGCTGGAGAGGATGAAGATGATGATGATGAGGAGGAGGGGGAGGACCCGTGTGTGTCTCCATGCAGCCTCCGGAGCGCAGGGCGGGGCGACGCCGCGCAGCAGCAGCAGCAGCAGCAGCAGCTTCATCACCGCTGACCGACACCGACCTCCTGCTCGTCTCCAGGCCGCAGCGTGGACGCCGGAGCCCGGCCTGATTCCTCTCAACCACCGCAGGTCCGGGTTCGAGCTGCGAAACGCACTACAGGTGATGATAACAACGACAGTGACGAAGAGGCTGATGAAGGCGATGGCGTGCAGTTAGGAGCTGCGGAGCGGCAACGAAGCGCAAACTGAATCCGTGCGCGGAGCGGGAGCATCGCGCTCCGATGCAGCAGAAAAATCGCCATTGTTTGGATGCGCAGCAGACTGAGAGGACAAACCCGGAGCACAGAGACGCTGTTTGACACGGAGACACCATGCTACTTTCCCCGCTGCTTCTGACGCTGGGGCTGCTCTGCTTTACCCCGGTAAGGACGCCTTTATTTGGGCTGAATGTGGAGTGATTGTGGCCGCCTGTCTGGATGAGCAGCAGCAGCAGCTCCAGTCTGTGTGTGAGGCTTTGTGTTGTGGAAAACACAGCAGATAAAATGGATCTGGGTTAATGGAGAAGTTGTGTAAGAGGTGATTAGTGATGGCTGGAGTGTGTGTCGGTGGATGTGTCGGTGAGGCGGACGCGTTGTGGCACCGCAGGTCGGTTAGTGAGGCAGCCAGCAGCTCGTTTTGTCCTGCAGAAAGTGGGTCAGTCGGCTGCAGCCTCACTGAGTCCTGCATGTCTGTCAGCATCACTGAGGATCACACACGCACACACACACACACACACCAGAGAAACCTCATCTGTCTGAACAACATGGTTTCACATCCACAGCTGCTGCAGGAGTTGGTGCCGGTGTCTCTGCTGCCTCATATCATTAGCTAATAATATTTAAATTAATATTTGTGGTGTTTTTTGGAGGTAATTGAGGTTGTGTGTTGCAGAGGGCTCTGTGTCAGTCTTTTAATATGATCAGAATCAGATTTATTGCCAAGTAGGTTTCATATTTAAGGAATTTGTCTCTGTTTGGTGCAAAGAAATAAACACAGGAAGAGAAAATAAAAGATTAATGAGCTAAAACAGTCAGAAAACATGGATAAAATAGGAAAAATTGACAATAAAAACACGAGTTAGTAGCAGTCTCTGTCTCTGCTGCTTCATGACATTAATAATATTTATATTAATATTTGCAGTGACCCACTCGCAGTATTTTAATATGATCAGAATCAGGTTTACTGCCAAGTAAATTTTCAAATTTAAGGTATTTGTCTCTGTTTGGTGCACAGAAATAAACATAGGAAGAGAAAATAAAAGATAAATTAAAAAAAACAGACAGGAAACACGGAAAAAAATAGGAAAAATTGACAATAAAAAAAAATGAGTTAGTTAGCTTTGTAGTTTATTTTGAACATGTAAGTGGCAAATAAACAAAATAATCATACAGTAGGAGACAGACAAAAAACGTGACTAATAATAGTTGTTACAAAATAAATGAATACAAAATATTGATAATGTAAAATAAATACACTGGAAAAAATATACATATGTAAAATAATAAAAATAAAATAAAGAATAAACATAGGAGGAGAAATAAAAGATAAATAAGCAAAAACAGACAGGAAACATGGATAGAATAGCAAAAATCGACGATAAAAATATGAGTTAGTTCAGCAGTTTATTTTTAACATAAGTAGCAAATAAACAAAATAATCAGTAGAAGACAGACATAAAAATAAGTTACTAAAGGAAGCTTGAAAACTTAAAACAGCTTATGATTTTTTTAAGCATATGTTTATTGATTTTAAACATTTAACAAGGTACACAAACGTGTACAGAATATATGGCATTACATAAAAAATAAATAATGGTTATAAAACTAAACAAAAACACAAAAATACTTAAGCAGACATTTTCTTCTCTTGTGTTTTTTCTTAACATATATGTTGAAAAAAGACAGAAAATCTGAGCAGTTGTGTGCAGGAATGTGCAAAGGTTCACAGTACAAGTTCCCAGTCATAAACATCATTTATATGCCTAAACAGGAAGTATATATACACAAATATGTGTGACATTATTGACACTGATTTAAATGAAACCAGGAGCAGCACAGGCGTAGATCCTGGGGGGACTCAGGGGACACGCCCCCCTCGGACTTCAGATCATTTGAAGCATTTGCACCTTCCAATAAAAACATGAAAGTCTTTCGATGACAGAGTGCCAGAACGTGACTCACTGATGCAGCAGTTCCTTCAGTAAAGTAGGTGGTGGCTGTATGTGTCCTCAAAGCACCTGTAACTGGTCTGCTATGAAACAGGAAGAAGATACTGTACCAGTTGAAGCAGGTGTGTGCTGTGACGTTTCCACCGTAGATTGATGCAGTTAAGGCACAAAATGAAGTATTTGATGCTCTGGATTTCTTTGGGGACGAACCTAATCCTAAATGAGATGTTTTCCCACCTGGACCTTTATGCTCTGCCATTTCTCCTCTAATCATCACGCTGTAACCTGTGACAGGCTGCTATGATACCACAACTATCACACACTCACATATATGGAGTTTTTACACGTAGGTTTGCATTACCAAATGTTTATGACAAAATCACTGGCGACACGGCGAGAGAGGATAGGGAGAGACGCTGTGCTGCTGCCTCATGAAACATTCAGGACGCTACAGTTTATTCCACACTACTGAAGCTGCTCCTCTTTTTGGAACCACCGCAGGGTCGGAAATAATTTCATTTTCAGCCATGCTCGTTGTTGCCGTGGGTAACAGTACAGCCCTATTCGGACGGGATTAGTTTAACGTGGAGACGTGGAGTTAAGTAATTATTACCAGGGATCTGGAGAAAATACCTCGGGTAATAATTATCCCGTGCGAACGCAATCCTCTGTAGAAACGTATGTAAATATTTTGTCACGTCCTGTTTACAACCATTTCCCCGCGTTTTTCCGATGATGGAGGAGCTTGAAGAAGCACTTGGTGTTGTCAGCAGTCGTGATAGCGGATATTCTTCTAATCGTAAAGCTCTACGTGGGAGACCACATGGGAATGGAATCGGACATTTACATTACAGACATGCTGTGGTAAACTGACATTAGTCCACATCCCTATGTAAAACTAATCCTGTCTGAATAGTACTTAAGACATCAATATGTCAACAAGTCCAATTATCGTGAGCATCACGATATGAATTTTCGTAAATGAGATGATATGGCACACCCTTATTTGATATTTCTTGACACTGGGTTATTTCTGTTGATACCTTAGGGAGCGATCACACCGAGATGAAACGCCAGAAACGCGATGCCAGTAAAACCATTGTTTTCCTATGATACGGCGCGTCTAACCGGCGTTCAAGTGTCTTTTTAGACAGCTGTTTTCCCGGCGTCTTTTTAGACGTGCGTTTTTGTAGACGCTTCTTTTTAGACGTGCGTAGACGCTGAAATGTTAAAATATTTTCAACTTTTTGAGACGGCAGTAGCTTCCAGCGTTTCAGGCATCTTTGAAGCGTCCGCGTCTCCAGCGTCTCATTTCTGTGTGATCGCCCCCTTTAGGTTGAGTACTGAAACCCAGCTCTAGTAACCATGGTAACCCATGCTAACCTCAGCTCTACTGGTACTTCAAAAATAATGTTACAAATATCTTACACTGATCAACAGGAAAGCAAAATCGTGTAGTTAAGGTTGAATTTAAGCATTACTGACAGAGTTGTCTTGGTCGTTGTGTGCCTTTGTCTGTGATGAATGTTGTTGTCATTACCACATTGCATTGTGGGATATTTATGCCGTCGTAGTGTCCAGTCTTTGTATACTGTAATATTTCACTAGAAACTGTATGCGCTAGGGATGTCCCGATCCGATATTCAGATCGGTGTCGGCCGCTGATATTAGCAAAAAATGGACATCGGCATCTGATCGGACTGCATGGAAAAATGCCGATCCATGAACCGGCTAGCCCAGTGCTCCGCAATTCAAGCAGTCCATTCCAGTGGTCCACTCCAGCTCTTACTATCAATCCACCAGGCCAGCATGCAGACGGCAGACACACAGAGGGTAGGAAGAGTAGCGGTCAATTTAGTTAACTGACTATTTGTTTTCTGCTCTGGTTTTTTGAGAGTGATATTTTTATTTGGTTTACACTCTTACTTTTTAAGTAAAGAGCACTGATGGCACTGTTTTGGGCACATTTAGTGAAACTGGAGCCAGGATGGACTACAAAAACACTACTAAAATAACTGGAAAGGAAAGGCTGCATTGTTTGTTAAATGTCAACAATGTCTTGTGGTGTTAATCTATTTTTTATTTATTAGGGGAGCAAAGCACAAGTGTGTGGAGTCTTGCTGCTATTTTAATTTCATTGTTAGACATTTTAAAGATTTCTTGTGTTGATTCATTTTCTATTTATTAAGGGGCCAAAGCAGCCAAAGCAAACCAGCTATATTTTTTATTTAATGTTAATGTTCAAGTTTAAAGTTTGTTTATTTAACCCTGTTAACAATAAACAGGTCAGTTTCTCATACCAACTGTTGTGGATCATTCTAACTAACCTGATTAAGTAGTTGTTCTTTGCTTGGTCAAACCTTTTCTAACATGACTGACAACAAAATAAGTGAATATGTATAATATGCGCTTGGATCGGTATCGGTATCGGCCAAAACTCAAGGCTGTAATATCGGTATCGGATCGGAAGTGAAAAAGCTGGATCGGGACATCCCTAGTATGCGCTGCAGGTTTCATACTGAGGTTTCAGACAAACTGATGTCACATATTGTTATAATCAGGGGCGTGAATATAAACTGCGCTGGGGCCCTACCTTACGCCACTGGTGACAATATACCAGATAGCGTGTGGAAATATCGTATGAGTTTATTTTCTTGATTAATTGAGCCCAGACAGTAATGAATTAAACGTCACCTGCAGAGCTGTACACCTGGTAAATGTCTGAAAATGTCCGTCAGAGGCCAAGGTCATGTCTTCACTTGTTTTTTGTTCGTCCAAGGAGCAGTTTAAAACCCAAATATGTTCAGTTTATGGAGATGTAAAACATCTGGAGAGATGTTTCAGCACCAGAGTTTTTACAAATCCAGATTTCCTACTAGCAGATAAACTGACAGCGTGTTATTAAATTCTTTCTTTGGTCTGTTCAGTTTTATCTGAAGGAGCTGTGAGTGGACGGAGAGCCGGAGAGTCCAACATGGAGGACGCTCTCGTAGATTAATAGCCGCGTGTCACCATCCAGATTTATTGAAGCTCCTGTGTCAGAGTTTAAACAGACTTATTATCCCGTTAGCGACCGAGCTAACGAGCTTACTAACTGACAATCCTGTTAGCTTTGGATCTGAGGTCAGGTTTGGGGTCAAAGTTTGGTTTCATCGATGTGCGATCTGCTGCAGTTCATCCGGACACAACAGGAAGTGTTCACACTGTGTTTTTGTT